AAGAGTTTTCTCAAATAACTACAAATACATACCACATAAAAATAAATACATACAAAGATTCTTCACTGACATGAAAATTTTCCAAATTGCTTTAAGGAAACTTACTTATCAACAAATTTTTGTTTTCTTTTTTAAATTTTTTATTTTTTAAAGAGAGTACAATTATAATTAAAACAGAAAAAATTACAAGTGATATAGAATTTCACTTAATAAAGAAATATGAATTTCACAGTATTTGTTGTAAGACATAGTGTTGTCTTCCAATCAGTTATTCATATTACCAGATATATGCATGTAAAATTGGGAGAAGAAAATAGAGAGCAATATCTAAGAAATTAAGAAGAGAAAAAGTACAAATAATTGAAAAAAGGAGACAAAACAAATCAAATCATGAACTACTTCTTTCCATAGACCAGTAGAAATGCACAGTACAGTTCTCCAAACAATCCTGCTTATATACATAGATAAATTTCTTTCCCCAACTCCCTCTCCTGTCCTTCTCCTCAATTTAGTAACTCTTTCCCTTTGAATAAGTTAATTTCCTTTTCCCAGTATCTATTGTATTCTTCAATTTCCATTTTTCTCTTTCAGGTTCTCACACTAAGGAGATAATACAGTGCTGGCACATGTGGGTCTGATTTACTGCATTTAAGATTATGTTCGCTAGTTGCATCCATTTACTGACAAATGACTCAAATTTATCTTGTTTTATAGCTGACTAGTACTCCACTGTGTAAAGATACCACATCTTCTTTATCCATTCTTCAGTTGATAGGCATCTGGGTTGTTTCCAGGATTTAGCTATGACAAATTGCGCTGCTATAAACATGGGTGCATATATATTGCTGTGGTACGAGGTTTTCAGTTCTTTTGGAAAAATACCCAGGAGGGGAATAGCTGGCTTGAATGGGATCTCCAATCCTAGCTTCTGAAGGAATCTGCACACTGATTTCCATAGTAGTTGTACCAGTCTACGCTCCTACTAACAGTGCAGAAGTGTTCCTTTTTCTCCACAGCCTTCTCAGCATTTCTGATTGACTGACTTCTTGATGTTAGCCATTCTTTCTGGGTTGAGATAGAATCCTAGTGTTGTTTTAATTTGCATTTCTCAAATGACCAATGATGTTGGACATTTATTCATATATTTACTTGCCATTTATATTTCTTCCTCTGAGAAGTGTACATTCATCTCAGATGCCCATTTTTGGATTGGGTCTTTAAATTGGAGGGGGGGGCTGATTTTTTTTTTAATTCGTTATATATGCTAGATAGAAGGCCTTTGTCGGAAGGACAGTCAGCTATAATTTTTTTTTCCCAGTTTGTGAGTTTTCTTTTTACTCTGTTGGAGATTTGCTTTGAAATGCAGAAACTTTTCAAAAAGATGAGATCCCAATTCAAATTTTGTTTTCAATGTGTTATTGATACAGCATTATACACGAAGGAACAAGAACACACACACACACACACACACACACACACACTGATTTTAAAAGGAATTGAACAATACCTGGAACATATTATACTAAAAAACACTGGCTGTATATCTAAACTTTACATTTAACTGTGCTACTGCATTTTGCCTGGCAACTGTACCCCATAGGCTCACACAACGGGGGAGGAGGGTGTGCTAACGGATTAGATGAAAGATCCATCACCTTGAAAAGTCCAGTTCCCATATTCTTTTTAAAAATGTTTTTGACCTTCTTGGCCAACCCAGCCTTCAGCTGTTGGCTGAAGGGAAGACTGGCGCAGGCGCAGAAGGGCCGAGGGCTGCAGGAGGCGCCCTCTAGAATCTACGCGGGAAGACTGGCGCAGGCGCAGAAGGGCCGAGGGCTGCGGGAGGCGCCCTCTAGAATCTGCGCGGGAAGACTGGCGCAGGCGCAGAAGGGCCGAGGGCTGCGGGAGGCGCCCTCTAGAATCTGCGCGGGAAGACTGGCGCAGGCGCAGAGCAGCGCGCAGCGCGTGCCCGGCCTCCCAGGCCTGCCAGCGCCGAGGCAGCCGGGCACCTGTCGCCCAGGAGCCCGGCCAGCGCTCCCGGTCCCCACCCTCCCCCACAGCAGGGCCCGGAGCGCGGCCCCAGCCAGCCCTGCGCCGTCGTCTATTTATATCGCTCTGCCGGCTCGGGGCCTCATCCGGCAGGGCAGTGTAGCCTGCCAGGCCCCTCCCTGGGCGCCGACCTGGAGAGTCCAGGCCTGCCGGGTCGCAGCGCCGTCGCTGGGCCCTGAGGAGCGAGTGGGCGTAAGGGCGGAGGGCAGGGATCGGCGGGCACAGCCCGCGACCTTGGCGCAACCTTGAGCCCGTGGTCCCCGGAACAACCTTGGCTTCCGGCCCAGTTGGCGCCTGCCACCCCGCGTGCCCCCTCCTCGCTGTCGGTGTTCCGGGGTCCTCCTGGCCATCACCAAAGTGTCTTCCTCTGAACTCTCCAGCGACTCACTTCCTGCTGTATTCCCCAGATGACCAGTGTCGCTCAAAGGTAAGGGCAGCTAGGACCTAGAAGAGCGCCTGGCACTTAGAAAGGTTCGTTTAAATTCAGTCGACATCGATTGTATCCCTGGGCAACTCTCTTAACTTTAAAGCCAGGAAAATAATTGCCCCGCATTTTCCCCACATGATTCTTAAAAGGAACTAATGAGCTATAATGCATATTAAAGCACTTTGAAAAGTAGAAAGCACTGGGAGAATGCAAAACATTGTGATCTCATCAAAGGAAAGGAAAAAAGGAAACTTGTCTTACTGTCTTCATCATTCATGTGCCTGACCATTATTCACTGCCTAGCATGCAGGATGGATTATTAGTGCTCAAACGAAATCAGGTCTTTTCACACCAGTGGAAACCTCGGAGCACGTTCAGGGCGGTGCATGTGATCCAAGCATTTGCACCTGTTGGGTTTGAGGAAGATGATGCTGAAAATGGCAATGGGGAGAGGCTCGGGTTTAAATTAGGGGTGTCAACCTAAATGTCTGTGAGGTAATCAAAATGATCAGGGTGAGAGGGGCACTGAGGACAGCTCAGCTAGGGATCCATGGAGGCCGGGCCTTTGGAGGGCAGGTGTGGCAACCTCTGGCTTTTCAGGTGCTGTGTGCTGCTGGGGAATTAAAGGCTGATTGTTGCTGTTACTTACATTTTTTCTAGTAGATGTTGGAATATTGCAACTTGCATGTCGACAACTAATTTATAGGAGGAAAGGAAATAGATTAACAGCCTATTTGTGATAACTAGCCTAAGTGATATTCTCCATGAATGGGGCTGAATCTCAGAAAGATGATGACTAGGAATTACTAGTGTAGAAATGGAGATAGATTTCATAATGCATGGAGCTGTATGCAAGAGAATCAAGATTGTTAATAATTCTAAATGATACATTTGACTACACAAGAGGTTAGCACCTTGAAGCATCAAGCATGACTTTTATATGCAGAAGAAAAGTCTGCTAAGTGTCATCACAGCCATGTTAAGAAATTGGAAGTGATTAAGGCCTAAGTCCCCCACCCCCACCTTGTGTTCTTCACAAAAGGGCAGGGAGGCATGGCATAAATAAATGGCAGCAACAGTGCAACAGCCACAAGGCACAGATCCAGCTGGGCATGAAAGGGAAGTGATGGCTTCACTGGGCAAGGATTGGCTGAATTTGGGAGAGCCAGTTAGTTTTTCAGGTGGATAGGGGCAGAAGGATACTCCTGACATAGAGAACAGCAGACATGTGTTAGTGTTGTTAGCAGTTCAGTAGTAGCAAAAAACTGACAGTCCCAGGAAGGGGAAGTCAGGAGATAGGTAGGAAAGGGTGAGAGGTGCTAGATGGTGAGGAGCCTGAGTGAGTGGTGGTGAAAGTAGACCTGTGAGAATTTTTAAAATATGGTATAAAAAATTTATATGTGGTCATCACTAGTTGGCAAAATGTCCCTCTGCCAAAAGGATTCTGATTTAAACATTGGAACTGGGATATTTTTCTCCTTGGTTTGCTATCCAAGTCTGATAAGGGAATTTTGGGCAAATTGTGTAGCTTTAGGAGTCCTAAATTAGTCCTCTAGTTTTCCCTTTTTTTCATACCCAAAATATACCACTTCAGGGATCCAGTCTCTTCCCATTACAGGGACTAATGCTAGAGAAATTAAGGGAGAAGGGCTGCAGCCCTGAAATTTCAAAGCAGTTCTCATTCAGATTGGATTAGAGGTTTTAATCTTTTGCATTTTCTAGTCACTTGTAACTGGGCATCCTACTTTGATCCTCAAAAATGTATCTATTATCTTCCCTTACATAAGATGTATTTATTAGATAATTGACAGATGTGGCTTATAATGGGGATTAGGGATTCAAAAGCTATGTAACTAATATAATACAGTTTTTAACAAAACAGTTGTAACTTAGACAATATTTAACACATGAAAAAAGCACCAAGAATAATAAAGTATGTATAGAGTACTACCAAAGAACTGGGAAAAGTAAATATTTGTACTATTGAAACTCTTTTCTATCCTCCTCTTCTGATTACCCCTCCTTCCACACCTCCTGTAGGCAACCACTGTCCTGCATTTATAATTACACTTAATTTCTTTATATTCCACTACAGCACTTTGGCTCCTTAAAGAATATATCATTTTTAAAAACTTTTATTTTGATACACTTTCAAACTTACAGAAAAGTTCCAAGAATGGTATAGAAAACCCCCTTAACTAAATCCACAGGTTGTTTATATTTACTTCATCAGAATATATGGTCTAGTAAAGGTTCTACAATCTGAGGTACAGGATCTCAGGATAAATCCTGAGGGGATTTCACTGACCTTATCAGATCCAAAAGCTACAACTCTTGTTGCATAGATCTTGCTTTACCTTGGTCTTAACCATCCAGCAGAAAAGTATAAAAACAAAGTATAAGAAGTAAAGCCATGCTGGTACGTTGAGCTGTAGGGGACTCAGGTCAACAATTTCTGACACTGCCAGTGAAGCGGAAGACCCAATACTATTATGGACTACTGAACTCTTTTAGAATATTTTGCTGAGTTTACACACCTATAATATTTAAATGATGGAACTTAACAAAAAAAGGGGATACAGACGAATGTCCATTCTGTATCTGTGTATTCAAAGTGGTTAGGATAGATATATAATTACATTCTCTTAATGAATAGAGGGATTTGTTCTAATGGTGTTTGTAAATAGAATATCAAGTCCGCACTTGCACAGCAATTAACCACTAGGAAGAATGTATGCAATGTGTTAATTATTGAAACTGGCCTACCAATTTGGTTTGAAACTGTCTCATTCCTATTTGTTTCTCAATAAAATTATGGAAAAAAAAAAAAAAGAATATATGGTCTAGGGCCAGCCAAAAGCTCATCAGATTAAAGTGCCTACAAGTAGGAACAGGGGCTGGGGTTCGATCCCAGGGGGGCTGCTATGCCAGCCCACCCCCGGGGTGTGCTGAGACAACAGTTGACACTGGGCGTGGTGGTGTGCAACTGTAATCCCAGCTCTTGGGAAGCTGTAAGCAGGTGAATCACTACGAGTCCCATCTAGTAGTGTGACCCTGAACACGCTGTAAACCCTTCCCTAAAATATAAAACAAAACAAACAAAAAAGAATATATGGTCTACTTTTACTGTATTAGAATATATAATACTGCTTTGCATATTTTAAACATATTAACAGTGTGCAGCATTATTCTGTAGTCTTTCAGAAAGATTAATCCACATAGATACATGTAGATTTAGTTCATTTTCTTCCACTGTACAACATTGTTTTGAGTGAATATCCTACTGTCTGTCTGTGCTATTAATGCACATTGAGGTAATTTTCCAAATGTTCACTTTCAAGCAGTGTTGTTATAAATTTAAATTAATTTAACTGCAGCAAAATATGGAAAAATCTTTATAAAAAGGAAGGTATGGTCATATCATCCACTATTCAAAAAAATACCAACTATAAAGATAATAAAGGATAGTAAGATCAAAATATTTGTGATTTACGGAAATTAACATTTTTTGCCTCACACTAAAATTTATAGCAGTCCGTTTCTCAACTATAACGAACATGGGTATAACTGCATTGTGAATTTGCAAAGTAATTAGGCTTTATTCTTGTGATTTGTATTTATCTTTGCTACTCATTTTTCTCCATTATTATGGGTACTATTATTAAGAATGCACCAGTGCAGTCTTCTATAAATTGCAACAGAGAATAACTTCCCATTGATATCATTGAGAACATTTATACAATTTTGTTTTGCTGATGAAAGGAGAATGTACTCTCTGCCCTCATTATGAGAAAAAGTTGCTGTCAGCTCTCTTCATTTATGAGCTGAGTCTGTATCACAAGTGATTTGTATGAACACCCAAATATGTTTATTGTTTGAAAAGTGTACAGGTATATTCTGCATCAGCTTTACCAAGTAAGTTTAACCAAGCCAATTACAGTTGTACATGCATGGCCTTATTCATTTCTCCCAAATATTTAAGTCTTAAAAGAAATCCAGGGCTGGCCTGGCTCAGCCTTGGCTCAGCAGATTAAAGTGCCTGCTTAGGCAGACACAGGGACCAGGGTTTGATCCCTAGAGTTCTGTGCTGGCCCCACCCCCAGGGAGCGCTGAGACTGCAATTGAGACTGAGCGTGGTGGCGCATGCCTGTAATCCCAGCACTTAGGAGGCTGAAAACAGGAGAATCACTACAAGTCTGATCTGTGTAGTGAGCCCCTGCACTAAATATATTAAATAAATAAATAAATAAATAAATAAATAAAATCCAGGGTAAGAAAACTAGAATTTAAAGAGGCTAGCAAACATGTTTATATCCATGTTTACTGGATAGTAAAACAAGTATCTAAACCCCGGGCTCATTCCGTGCAAACCAAAATCCACATTCCTAACCTTTAATCTGGGCACTTGGATGCCTAGTGCTAATCTAACTATATACGTTATCTTGTACCAAGGAAGAAGACAAATTGTAGAAAGGTTAAATAAATTTAAGATTATAGAGTATAAGAAGCTAGTCCAGGATTCAGACCCAGGGCTTTCTCACTTTGGAGTCCCTGCCAGCTATTCCAGTATCTTCTATGTATCTTCTGCATACAAAAACAACACTGAAAGGGGCTGGAGAGATGGCTCAGTGGAATAAGCCCTTCCCTGGAAAGCACAAGGGCCTGAGTTCAATCCCCGGTTCCGCAAAAAAAAAAAAAAAAAACACTTAAGGTGGGTGTAGTGGTGCAAATCTATAATCCCAGCACTCTGGAGGCTGAGGTAGGAGGATCACCTCAATTTTGAGGCTAGCTTGGGCTGTATAGCAAGACCTGTCAAAAAAGCAAAAATACTAAAAATGCTTTTGAAGTGCAGTGACTATTTTAACTTCACAGTCATTTTCAGGATTTCCATCAATAAATTCATTTGATCTATAAATTCATAGCAATTAGAGTAGCTTTTAAAACTCATTTAAAGGGCATGTGAAAAGAAGGGGTACTTAACAAATATTTTTCATAATGTTTCTTTAGAGTATTTTAAATGGTTATTTCTGTTTTAAAATTAATTCCATTTTTTGTTGTTTGTTGAAACCAATTTTGAGACAGGGAAGCTGCATTCACATAAAATACTTATTTAAGAAATTCATGTGTATTTGAGAATTTGAGGACAGCCAGGTGATCTTAAAACAGGAAGATTCCTCCATCAAAACTCTCCAGCTGGATCTAAAAGAAGTGGAGATTAATCACATAGACAGAATACTGTCCTACTCACAAACTAGAGGATGGGTTTATTTATAGCATGAGAGTAGCAGTCAGCAACCTGCCACTTGTTTCTGTATGACCCATGAGCTAAGGATTCATTTCATAATTTTAAACAACTTGTAAAATATGAAAGAAGAATAATATTTTATAACAATGAAAGAGTGATACAAAAGTGTATGAAATTCAGGTTCCACTGTCCACAAAACATTGTACTGGAACACAGCTACACTCATTAGTTTACAAACTTGGATGGTTGCGACAGAGACCATGTGGCTTGCAAAGCTAAAATAGTTACTGTCTGGCCCTGTTTTGCCAACCTATCATTAGAGGGAGTGGTGAAGAGTGCAGACTTCGTGTCCATTGCATGAGAAGAGACAAACTCAGAAGAATGATTTAAGTGGTTGTTGCTTTTTATCAAAGAGAAAGGAGACTAAGAAGAGGTTCCTATCGTTCTCTTACATGGTAGTTTAATAATAGAAAGTATAGGAATATAACAAAAATGATCTTTTATATAATTACAGGTACCCTAGGCAAACTTTTCTAAATATTTTTTGCATATACCATGCATGAAATGAAGGATTCTTGAATTAAAATATCAGCAATCCTAATTTAAATCAGCTTAAGATGTCTCTCTCAAGTTAAAAAGATGGATATAAGGCCTTTTTCAAATTCTACAGCTCTTTTCTGCCTGTGTCCTAGATCTGCTTTGTCTCCACGATGGTTTCTAGGATCATGGCTGGAGCAGTCGCTGACCTCCTTCCTTTATGTGTGGACCCCTGATCATCAAACCGAGACCCATGCTTCACTTGGATTAAGCCAATCATAGGTCTGGTGCTACCTTTAACCAGTAACAGTGGGTGGGGAGTCAGTCCCACCCCACCTGCACCAAATGAGAGCAAGTTAGATGCTTAGAAAACCCGACACCATCCACTATGAAGTTGTCTATAAAATATTACCTGTGGGTGCTAGTGCATATATGTAATCCCAGCACTTTAGGAAGCTGAGCAGGATTCCAAGTTCAAACCCAGCATAAGTAATTTAGCAACTTGGTGAGTCCTTGTCTAAAAGAGAGAGAGAGAGAGAGAGAGAGAGAGAGAGAGAGAGAGAGAGAGAGAGA